TATTATTAAAATTACTTTTATTATAATCTCATTATTTATTTTAATAAGTTCTCGTATTATTATATGTATTTTCTATTGCATTATTGTAATATGTGTCAAGCTCTATACGCATTACTTTAAACTGCATTTTTATATAAATTGTAAGCCAACTTTTGTAGGTCTTAAACCAGTTTACCGTTAGTTAAGCAAGCTTCAGATTTGTAGGGCTTCACAAGCAGCATAACAGCTTCTTTTCTGTCTAAATCAAATATATACAATATATATTTTACACATAAATTCGAGAGCTTCTCAATTTAAGGAATTCACACTAAGCAGCATTTGAGAGCAAAACAATTTTTTTTTTTTTGTCAATAATAAAATGATTCTGAGCAACAAAAGCGTTTCGATTTTTGTTAGGTCACGGGCCAAGCCTTAGAAACACCCAATTCGCGCAGTCCCAACTATGCTATTCATTTATATAGAACCATTATCATATGCAATCTGCACACACCAAAAAAAAAAAGGCGCCATTTAGCAATTTTCATGGCTGTTCATGCTTAAGCGGCTGCCAAACCTTAAAGTATCTTACAGATACAGCCACAACAATATACACGGATACATAAAAACCATGCGTGCCATTTATATATATATATATATATATACATGTGTGTGTGTGTGTGTGTGTATGTAAAGCAATAACGGACAGACGCAGTTCACTCGCATTCAGCATTGGCATTGATAATGAAAGCAAAGTGAAACGCATGAATTTACAAGCGAATATTACGTATACGCAACGCTCGGGCCAGATAGAGAAGGTCGAGAGACTCGAATTGGGATACGGCTGGGGAATTTGCCTTTGACTGTTCAAGAATGCGAGAGACAGACACACACGCAATGCATACCAAATGACAAATATGTGCGCATATGTAACTGCAAATATACACACATATATACATATATACAGATATTTTTATATATGTGTATACTTATATGTGTATGTGTATTTATCAGGCAAAAAAAAAATAATGTGGCTTTCAGGCAGGTCGCCTGGCTGCGTCATGGCAACTGAACCACAAAATAACTGACAGGAAATGAGCTGCACGCTTAAATGCAATCCGTAAGTAAAAAGAAATTTGTTTCAACTGATAAATCTATCTATATACATATATATAGATATATTGGGTTATAGGTTTTAATAGACAACGACCATAATAAATAAATAACAAAATAAACATATAAATCATGTTTAAGTATAGACCAAAGCGTCATAGCAATATGCCTAACTTATTTAAATCTAAAAAA